GTGGTCTGTGGACTAGTGACCGATTAAAGATGAAAAGGCTTCTACCTGACAAAAACTATGCGATTCGCTCCCAGGTAACTGAACAGCTTAAGAATGAGATAAGCAGAAGCCACAGGATCTCCTCGAGGAGATCTCTGTGGTAAGAAATAAGGACCTTGAGTCTGAAGAAAGCCAGTTTATTTTTCCCTTAGCAGTTGCTGTAGGTGTGACTGGTAACCAATAAACCAGAGGCTTTATGTGTCAAACCAGCCATCCTATACCTCTGGAGAAGGAGAATGAAGGAGCAGCATGACCTTACAAGCCAAAAGCACCAAGTCAGTAAAACCTGTTAACAGGGCTCATAGATCTGCCTTCCTAGGCTTTCTCTCTGCCCATCACACCCATGTCTTTTTTTTCCTATCTGTATCTTTCTATATGTGTGTGCAAGAGGAATTTTAGATGGGGCTTAGAGTTTCAACTCACAGGGATATACATCGATAGTTCACAATTACTTACCTATTTATTTGTAACAAATACTAATTCTTGTTGAATACAGAAGTCTGGTCCGTGATTTGTGGTCTAAGACACAGGTAAAATGGGGAATTTTGTGTACTTAAAAAAAATCTTTAAATTTTGTGATGAGACCAGGAGTGGCAGGGCTCAATTTCCAATGTGCTACCCCCGAGAAGCATGAAAAGCATACTATAAAACGAAGAGTACTATTCTAAAGGGTGTGCAGGAGCAGAGAGAGCTGGGTATATATGTGGAGATAGTAAGAACTGCAGATGCTGAAGTCAGAGATAACACAGTGTGGAGCTGGAGGAACACACCAGACCAGGCAGCATCAGAGGAGCAGGAAAGTTGACGTTTCCGGTCGGGACTCTTCTTCAGAAATGGGTCTTCGGGAATCTTAATTTCTGAAGAAGGGTCCCGACCGGAAACGTCAGTTTTCCTGCTCCTCTGATGCTGCCTGGCCTGCTGCGTTCCTCCAGCTCCACACTATGTTATCTCTGGGTATATATGTACATGTCATTAAAAGTTGCAGGGCAGAGAGAGCTGTTGATAAAGCGTACAGTATTCTAGGCTTTATTCTGAGAAGTATGGAGCAGGGGGATTATTGATGAACTTGTATGAGTCACTTATTAGATCTCAGCTGGTGTATCATGTACAATTCTGGGAACCACATCACAAAAAAGGATGTGAATGCATTGGAGAAGGTGCTGAATATGTTGACAAGAATGGTTCCAGGAATAATCCATTTATGAGGATAGATTTGGAGAATTTGGATTGTTTTCCTTGGAGAGGAGAAGGCTAAGAGAAAATTTGACAGGTTTCAAAATCACAAGGGGTCTAGACAGAGTATATAACGAAAATGTGCTCCACCTCATAAAAAGATCAAGAACCAGAAGGCACAGTCATAGAGAAAGATGTTCAGCCCTTCATGTCCGTACTGGCCAACAAACACCAAATGACATTAATCCCATTTACCTGTATTTGGTCCATAGCTTGGCATTATAAATGCTCTTCTAGATGGTTCTAAAATGCCTCTATCATGCTCTCAGGCAGCACAATCCATATTTCTACCGTCCTCTGGGTGAAAAAGATTTTCTTCCGATCCCTTCTAAACCATTTATTCCTCTGGTTTTAGACATGTATGCCATGGGGGTAAAGATTCTCATGATCGGTGCTGTCTATGCCTCTCATCATTTTGCATATCTCAATCAGATCTCCCCCCTCCATCAGCCTCCTCTGCTTCAGGGAAAACAAACCCAGCCTATCTAGTCTCTCCTCATAACTGAGACTTTCAATCCCAGAAATAAAGTTACAATTTGCAAAGGTAGCAACCACGAGGTGAGGAAAAAATACTTTCACTCAGAATGCTGGTGCTAAATCCCTCACCAGGGTGGAATTTGGCACAGGTCACAGTGCAAATGTGAGCAAAGGCAATGCAGACAGGTTGGGCACTATATGGCCAAATAGTCCACAGTCTACCTCGCATGAGATAACCCCACACTGTCACCCCACACTGTCACCCCACACTGTCACCCCACTGGTTCATCTTCCCCTCCCAACACACCCATATCCCCAGATTCCCACCCAGCCCACACCACTATCCCCAACTGCACCTTGTTCCATGAATGTGTGCCTACCTGAATGTCTGGTTTTGAGCAGGTATGAGCTGGAATTGTCATGCTGATTGTAATAGATCATAGAATCCCTACAGTGTGGAAGTAGGCCCTTTGGCCCAACAAGCCCACACTGACCCTCAGGGCATCCCACCCAGACCCATCCCCTTATAACCCACCTAATCTGCACATCCCTGAACACTACAGGTAATTTAGCATGGCCAATCCACCTAGCCTGCACATCTTTGGACTGTGGGAGGAAACCCACACAGACACGGGGAGAATGTGCAAACTCCACACAGACAGTCGCCCGAGGGTGGAATCGAACACGGGTCCCTGGTGTTGTGAGGCAGCCATGCTAACCACTGAGCCACTGTGTCGCCCCAATCTGGGAGGTTAGACTCTACTGTGTTTCATTGCTCTCCCGGGATGCTGACAGAGGGAGTTTGGGCAGTCAGATGTTAAGTCTATCTTTATAACTTGTCTCAGTGGGAAACTTTAATTTCAGTTGGATTCTCCTCATTCCCAGGCTGCCTGTCACTTTACACTGATAGGCTATTGGCCATCCTTCCTTCTAACTCTCTCCCTAACCCATCCACAACTTCTATCCCCTTCACCTTCTGGTCTCACCTCCTAGAAAAACCACTCTCCCTAAATGTTATGCCGAGAGCCCTCTCACACTCAACCCTTCCCACACCCCACATGCCCCCACCCTCACAAATGAGTTGCTCTCAACTACATTCCTGCTGGGATCCACTACTAAAATCTACACAGTCACAAGTATCTTCCAGATCTAGGGATCTCCACAACCTGATCTGATGGTGAGAATTTCTGGATTGAGGAGGTCATGAGAAAGATTTCCAATAATTTCTCCAATCAGAAAGTTGGAATTGGCTCTAATTTGCATACAGAAATTGTTAGGAACCTTTAAAGGAAAGAAAAAGGGTTTTGGAAAAAATTCTAGTTTCAAAAAAAGCCATTTGCGAGGAATGCGAGACAGGTCAAAAGAAAATCCAAAAGCCAACAATGCCAAGTCTGGGTTTCAAAAGCCTTATGGATTCTACTTTAGCTGTTCAGAGCTCAGGATTATTAATTTGTTCAATAACCTTCTGATGTTGCCCCATTTTCCCATCCTCCCAATTATTTGCAATGGCTGGGAAACCATTCATTGTCCAATGCTGAATTAACACTCCATTCAACATCCACAGCTACCAATGTGAAATGGCTGTGGGGCCACCAGCAGTAGATCTCTCATGGTCAGGGGGTTCAGTCTGTGTCTAATGGACTGGCTCAATTGATCACAGACACAAATTGAGCTGTTTCCCAAGACCGTCCCCTGCTCCCACTGGTCTTGGTCTCTACCCCATGGTTCCTTGTATTTTTCCCACCATTCTAGTGTATCCCAGGCTCTCACCCTCCCTCATCCCCATCCTGTGGACACAAGTCTTTCCCCACTGCACCCTAGTCTCTCCTCTCCCTGTGGACCTCAGTGTCTCCTGCCCATTCATGGACACTAGTTACATAAGAACTAGGAATAGGAGTAAGTTATTCAGCCCCTTGAGCCTGCTCCACCATTTAATACGACCATGGCTGATCTCATCTTGGCCTGAACTACAGGTTTCTTCTGAAGAAGGGTCTAGGCCCGAAACATCAGCTTTCCTGTTCCTCTGATGCTCCTTGGCCTGCTGTGTTCATCCAGCTCTACACCTTGTTATCTCAGGTTTCCTGCCCACCTTCCTTACCCCTTTAACTCATCACTATCCAAAAATCTGTCAACTCCTCTTTAAATTTATTCGATGTCCTGGCATCCACCACACTCTGAGGTAGTAAATTCCACAGATTCACAGCCCTTTCAGAGACAATCATAGACTATAAATATAGGAGCAGAATTAGACCATTCGGCCCATCACGAGTATTTCCTCCTCATCTCAGTTTTAAATCTGCCAGCCCTTAACCTAAAGGTATGACCTCTTGTTCTAGATTGCCCCACAAAGGGAAACATCTGCTTTAGGGAATCTCCTTTAGCATCTTATATGCCCCAATTACATTGCCTCTCATACTCCTAAATTCCAGTGAGTATAGGCTTAAACTATTCAAGAGATTAATCTAGTTTTCCCTTTCACTCTGACCGCAATCTTGCTCCCTCTACCCTGCACCCTGTGAATCTGTTTTCCTGCCCCTTGTAGACACCAATCTTCATCCCCCACCAACCCCAGGCTCTGCAAATCCCAGTCTTTTCCAGCACCCACCTCCCACCTCCCCACCCTGTGCATCTGAACTGTTCCTCTTGACCTTTCCATCTCTCTCTCTCGCCACCTTGTGGACCCAGTCTCCCCTCTCTTTGCAAACCTTGGTATCTGTTCCTCAGCCTTTGGATCCTACTCTCTCTCCTCTCCTCCCCCCATCCCCAACTTTCAACACATACCACTGTGGACCCTAATCTCTCTCTCCACCATCAGACCACTGCAGACCCCAGGCCCATTGCCCCAACAAACCTCAGCAGACCCTAGTCTCTTTCCTCCCCACTTTTATGGATTTCAGTCTCCACTCTCCCAGTGAATCTCAGTATTTTCCAAATCCTTTGTACCACAAATCTTTTTCCATCCTCACACCTCTGTGGACCCTAGACTCCTTTGCCCTCCCCAAAACCTCTGTAGACCATCATCTCTTCCTCCTCCCTTCCCCCATAACCTCTGTCGACCCCAGTCTCTCTCCCCACTCAAACCCCTGCAGACCCAATCTACCTTCTAACGGTAGACCCTTCTTCCCCTCCATCTCTCTGATATCTCACCATTCCATTTGATGGGGTCACAGCGTTTGAGGGTTGAAAAAGGTGATGTATTTGATTTTCTAGAGCTCAAAATTGAGTGGAGAAATTATTTTTTAAAAAAATAGGTTGCTGTGCTCGATATAAGCTTCTGGAGACTGCAGACTGATCAGCCGGAAAGACCAGTCTTACAGCAAGGAAAGCTGTTGAATGATGAGATTGTCTGCCTACCTGCTTCATTTCCAGCTGACTCCGGAGACACAGGGAGGTGAGACTGAATTGAATCTTTCTTAAGCCGGAATCAAACAAGATTCTCCAGAACCGCCAGGGTTTAGCTCGCAAACATTAAAGGGAAGGGCTTTAAAAGGGGCCAGTCACCAAAATCCACATTTTAGTCCCAGCCCACCCTTCATTTCGACGTCATTAAAAACAGATTCAGCGAACTGCCCCCATTCCCCGAGTCAAAGCGAACCTGAGCAGCAGATCAGATTGACGGAGTTGGGTAGTGAATGAATGGGGAACAGAGAGAATGAGTAACTGAGTGAGTCGGGAACCTAGTGAGTGAGTAAATGAATGAATGATGAATCGAGTGAGTTGGGAACCCAGTTACTGGGGAACGGAGAGAATGAGTGGGTAACGGGGTGCGTGAATGAGGAACCGAGGGAGTGGGATATATAGTGAATGAATGAGGAACCGAGTGAATGAGTGGGAAACAGAGAGAATAGTGAGGAACTGAGTGAGTAGATGCATGATGAAGATGAGTGGGGAACTGAGTGAGGAAGAGTGAGCCATGTCACCTATTTAGAAATTGAAATGTGTGGTTAGGTTTTGAGAACCTTGCTCTTGGCCTCTTCCTTTTCCTTAAGAGCTTGCAAAGACCCATTAAACCTGCTCCTCCCAGAAGCTGTGTACACTGCCCTATTATGGACTTTGCCCTCCATTTAATTTCATAACCATTGTATACTTTGTTGTACCATGGACTTTGCACCACCCATTTCATTCTCTACAGTAATGCCAAAAGCAAATCGGCAGACTGACTGTCCCAGTATCGTCAAGTTCTTGAAGTTGAGTAAACAAATGAATCCGACATTTAGAATCTTAAAGGCTTTTAAAATCCCAAATTATGGAAAAACCGTTTAGCATGGCCTTAACAACAAGAGACAGAGAGGGTAATTGGACAAGTCAGATAACGTTACAGAACAAATTGGAAGAGAACAGATCAACAAAGACTGTAGGATACATGGAAATAAACTGATCTGAGAAATCTACTGTAGAGAGTGAGAGGGGAATGGACAATCAGTGAATCCTCGAGACAAATGGAAAATATTTGGAATGGGATGTGCAAGATGCACAAACAATCAGTAACAAGAGGTTATTTGGACATTTAAAGAGGAAAATGAGATCAGAGAAAACTGATGGCACAGAAAGAAGCTATTCAGCCCATCATGTCTGCTCTAGCTGCCCAGTCAAAACCCAACTTTCTGCACCTGTCCCACAGTTTTGCAGATCATGGATGCAGATCCACCAACCACCAAACTGAACAATGACATTCCAGACACCAAGGTGAAAGGCAGGAGGTTTAGGAGGGATTTGAGGAACACCTTCATGCATAGAGTGCTGGCAATCTGGAATGCACTGTCTGGGAGTGTAGTTGAGGCTGGAAACATTTAAAAAACATTTGGATAAGCATTTGAAATGCCATAATATTTAAGGCTGGAAAACAGGTCTAATGTAGATTTAAAGTCATTTACTTTTCAGTGTGTACTGTACAATTCTATGACTTTGGGAATGTGCAGAGTGATGTTGGAAGGAATGCAAAGACCTACAAACAGCCCATTTACCCAATGCCTCAAGTTTCACCTTCCCAGCATGTGGTACAGTCTGCAGATGACATGTTCAACTTACTAACTAGCTCAGACCCCATCAAACTGGAATGGAAGCTAGCTAACCCCTTGCTCCAGAGGGTCTGATCCAAAAGGAGAAGAGTTTGAAAATTGGAACTCTTCTGAAGTACAGGTCAAACTTATGACCTCCTCATTTGCTACCAGTTAAGCCAAACCTCAGTTTGCATACTTGTTAAATAAATGAAGTCACCAGTACCCATTCAAGTGTATTGATTGAAAGGTCAAGATGACAACTCTACTGGAGGATACCATTCCAGCTTTGACATGTTGGAACATTAAACTTTGTCCAATGACTTTAGATGTAGAGAGTGCCATTTGGACAAATTATGTAGATGATACCAAATTCAGGGACAGTGGAATTGAAAAGTGATAATGCACTGCTTTGCAAGAACAGATTCACTGCAGATGAAGTTTGATAAAATGAGCTGTGGAATACTGAAAAAGGGGAAAAGGAGGGATTATACATAAGAACACACAATGGTGTAAAAATAACTAAAGAAGTCAAGGAGGATCTAGCAAGGATATGACCGATCAGTTACGTGCTACAATTAACAAAGTCAATATACTTTTGAACCACAAAACCAAAGTATCAGAAAGATACAATCAAACAATATGGTGCACTGATTAGCTTGCAATGTTGGAAGTGACAAATTTCTTTTTAATGAAGCACTGGGCATGTTGGGGCAGAGGGGGCCACAGTTCTGATCAATAGTAGTTATAAAGGAAGACTTGATGATAAATTTGTAGATTGACAGAATAGAAATGATAAAATGGAAATATTGTTTCAAAGCTGAACCCACGTTCAACTAATTAAAGAAACAGCATTGTAGCAACAGGCAGATATATTGTCTCTCTGGGTGGAAGCAAATAAAAGGAATGAATGGATTTTTTTTTATCTGAAAGGATCTTGGGCATGTGCAGGAGGGAGAAGATCATTCAAACCATTTTCCTGGCCCTAGAGTTCAACAACAGGTCAAGCAGCTTATGACTGAAAAGCCTCCATTCATTTCAATCATAAAAGGGTGACCCCTTATTCTGGACTCACCCACAATCCACATCTATAATGTCAACAGTTCAGGATTTTACGCACTTCAAGTTACCCTCACCCTGTTAAAACACTAATGAAAACAAATCCAATCTATCTAACCTTTCCTGACAGGACAACCTGCTCATTCTTGGTATAATCTAGTAAACTTTCATTGAATCACCTCCAACGTGTTTATATCCTTCCTTAAATAAGGACACTAAAACTGCATGCACTATTAAAGATACACCATTGCCCTATTTAACAGAAACATAACATTCTCATAACAAAATATAGTACAGCATTCCATTAGCCTTAATTAATTGTTCTTGCATAGTGACTTTTAATGACTCATACACTGGTGCACCTAGGAATTCCACATGCAAGTAAAACTCTGAAATATTTTTATTCTTCCTGACAAAGTAAACAACTTCATATTTTCCCCACATTGTGCTGCATCAGCCAGATTTTTAAACAACTTAATTAACCTATCTATATCCTCCTTGTACTCTTCATAACACCTTCCTACCAACCCTTGTGTCATCTGTGAATTTAGCTATCACGCCTTTGCTTCTCATCTAAGTTATTGATGTAAATTGTAAAATGTTGAGACCTCAGCACAGACCCCTGCGGGACACCACTTGTCACATCTCACCAATCAGAAAAAGACCAACTTATACATACTGCTTTCTGCCAGCCAAGCTTCCACCCACGCTAATACATTACCCCATACTCCACAAGGTCCTGCATTGTACAATAACCTTTTATTAAGCACAGTATTGCCTTCTGGAAATCCCTCATATCCACAGTGCAATTTACCCAATCAATAAATTGGTTAAATATGATTTCCTTCTCACAAAATCATGCTGACTTTTCCCAGTTATCTTGAGTTTTTCCAAGTGTCCTTCATGATAGGTTCAAACAACGTCCCAATGACAGATATTGAGCCAACAGGCCTGTAGTTTCTGCTTGCTGCCTCCTTCCTTCTTTATAAGGAAACATTTGCTACTTTCTGATTTTGTGCAACCTTTCCAAAATCTACAAATTTTGGAAAATTACTGCCAGTGCATACCTCATTAGCATAACCCAAGGGTGGAGTCCACTGGGACTCGAGGGCTTGGCAGTCTGCAGATGTTCAACTTTTTCATTAAATTTAAAAAAAAAGGCCAAAGTACAATCTGCTGAGGTTCCAGCATAAACCACAATAAGATCAACATCACTAGTCAACCACTTGGAAAATTAAGGAGGAACATTTAAGATTGAGACAAATACAACTTGGCATAGTTTATACTCGAAAGTCAATTTACCTTAGCAAGTTGAAAGATATTCAGGTCTGGGTGACACATCAGTCATTGCTGGAATGTACATAGGAGTGATTTTTGAATGAACAGGCAAAGAAACGTAGCCTTTTCACTTGTAAGGGGTTTCACTTGTAATTATGTAGGGTAACCAAAGTAAAATCCCTCAGGATATATGAAATAAACATCATGATGGGAAATACTGCAAAGGTTTGCGAGGATGCTACCAGCATTGGAAAATGCAGCTACAAGGGAAAGATTGGGTCAGCTGTGATTGTTCTTTAAACAGAGGAGGCCAATGGAGATTTGATCAAGATATACAAAATTGAGAGGGGCCTGGCTGGAGTGAATGGGACATCTCTATTTACCTTAGCACACAAATTGGTGACGTGGGGGCAGAGGTTTAAAGATTAGTGGAAAAATTAGCGTGTGGATGAGGAAAATCTTTTCACACAGAGTGGGTGGGGCCTGACAGGCCAACAGACAGAAACCCTCAACTCATTGAAAAGGTGTCTGCATTCGCACTCCTAATGCTGTAAATTGCAGGGCGTTGAATGTAACAAAGTTGGGTTAGGCCATGTGGCTTGTTTTTAAGCCAACACAGACACGCTGGCCCAAATGCCATCTTTCTGCACTGAGGATTCCAACAGTAGCAATGAATCCTACTTGTATCGAGGACACCTTATGGTATATTCCTGTGTAGTAACTTCTGTGTGACCAGATCACCACTATCAAGGCAGATTATGCAGCATTTAATTGGAGGGCCATGCCCATCCCTTTAACGCTACAAAATTGATCCGGGAAGAAGCTAAATCTGCCTTCAGTCTCCCAATAGATAAGAGATAAGCACGCCGTGATCGTTTGAAGTTGTTGATGTCCTGACTCTGTGGAAATTATCCTGGAACTGAAACTTTTGATGGGAAATTCGCCAACTTTCTGAAACCTTTGATTCTTGAGTTGGAGTAAGAAACTTGGGAGAGATCAGACTTACTTAAAAGGATAGTCACTGTCAAAATAAGTCAGACTAAAACCATGTCTAACTAAACACGGTAATAAAAAATATAAAATTGATCCATCCTGCCCCAAAGATTTCGACACTAACTGGAATGTTTGTGTACCAGTATATTTGTTCTTTAGTTAGAGGACATAACCCTATAGTGTTCTCCACAGGAGATGAGTGACTCCAATGTTGTGTAGATCTGTCTGAAATAAACTGTATGAGGTTTTACAGAAATTGTAGGAGGAAAAATATGACAGCCAAGAAATACAAAAATGTACCATTCTTGTCGTAGAGATAAGATGGGAAGGTTATTTAGTTTCTTTTCAAAACACATATTGCATTTGGTAAAATCTTACATTTTTACACTGAGAAATACTGCAGCCATGGAAGGCAAAAAAAAATTAGTTTTGATAAGTGTAGTCACAGCTTTGTATAAAGAAAATGCTCGACTCAGAAAAGGAGTAATTAATAAATTAATCTGTTCACGTGGTCTTGCTGGCAAGTGCATGAATGCTGACTCGGACACTTAATGTGAGGCAGCTGCCCAAAACACAATTCAAATATTCGCATCTACTTGAGTGAGCAGACCATAACAATGTAACTAAATTTCAGGAACTCAACATGACAATGAAGTGAAACCCCAGTATGTTCCATCCCTACAACAGCATGACAGACTGGAGAGCATCAACAGAGCCATGCTAACACTATTAGCCAATGATCAAAAGTGGAACATCCCTTTAGGGTTAGTACCCTACATCAAAAAGATGTTAACGGTTCATAGATAAATGACCAATTTTGTTGATTATGACACATTTATTACACTGGTTTTGCAAGAACAGAGATGCTGACCCCTTCACTAGAACTCAAGGACAATGGCTAGTCATCCAACTTTCCTGCATGCATGTACTACGAATGTCCAAGAGATGGAGGTAAAGAGAAATTGCTAGATATGAAA